CATCATCGTCAGCGATAAACACCCGCTGCATTGTATGCGTTACGAGGGCATGCCGAGCTTGAAGTAGTTTAGATTATGTGGTAACTTTTAAACTCTCAGACAGCTGCTAACGAGGTATATGAAAACACTGCAATGGGGATCGATATTCACCGCTAGAGGACAATGTCACACAGCAGAGGAAAGGGGGGCCACTGCTTCAGAGTTAATCAAGTGGATCTTAGTTTGTAGGGTTCTGATCTATGCAATTGTGTGCCTTTAAATATCAAGTGAAGGTGATTAAAGTGGATTGAACATCATGCTGGTGCTCTACCGTATCCAACTCACAGCTGTCTCGAGATGACGCAGAAAACACTATGACGGCGGATTTGGGATAAGAGTGACTGGCAGTGATTCCTAACAACGCTGTCTCTAATGCGATTCGCGATGAACAGCCTGACGCCGGCATCATTGACAGAAAGCGCTCCGCCTGCTGCCCTTTGCTCTGATGTTGTCACGCGCTGGTCAGGCCCTCGGTTCTTACATTTAATTACATTTCCTAATTATGCGGAAATCTGCTAGAAGCTACTGAATCAATGGCTAACAATCGGATCGAGGGCTGATGGTGTCAGATTAAGCGCATTGGCCGTCCCCGGTTCGCACTCGACTGAATTCGTGATGATCTTCAAGCGAAGAGCAAGTGGACTCGCTGAAGAATACGTGTGTCACAAATCAATAGAACAGTTGATGAATGTGGTCAGTGGATGGATGAAACGTCCAACAGTGACCAAAAGCCTCTATCGTTAACGTTCAAAGAGGATACGACTATATGTTTAGTCATGAATTAACTCCTATATGCTTAACACTCTGCTTTAGTTTGCTTCTTTTGGCAGAACACAATGTAAACATATTTTAAAAAATTTGGCTGGGCAAGTTAAAAAAAACCAACATGACAGGACAGAGACAAAAGAAAAGTAGAACAGTTGCCACTCACCAACCGACTTGATGGTGAAGCCAACAGGAGGCTTTAGCAGTCGTCTGGCCCATGCGTTCCTCAGGCATTCCAGGTGCTGTTCTGCGCCGGACAGGAAAAGCGTTCCTGGTCTGACGAAGCCCACAAAGTCCACGGACTGGATACTGTACGTGACATGGGGATTCCAGACTATGCGCTGGTTTTCGCTGAGGAACTGTCTGAAAATATCGTAGCCGTTTTCAGGAGTGCAACCAGTGCTGACTCCCGGTCTGTCGCCGTCGCTGCGGCTCATGACCACGGCGACACACCTCGAGGTCACGGCTGTCGGTTTCATGATTGACACTTGACGGACGACAGTGAGGACGTCACGTTTTTCGAACAATCAGGCACGACAACACGTTCCACTTGTTTCGCAGTCTAAATCACAAGCTGCCACTAGTCATCATCACAGCTACGAACAGCTACTGCTGTCGTCCTTTTTACCGGTCCCCTGCTACTGATCCCGTCAATATCCGCGAGTAATTAAAATCCGAGCCAATTACTTTCGACCACATGGGCGGAGATCATTCCCATTGGACAATATTCGCGCTGAGATTCGCCACCGCTTTCGATCCGGACAGCGCATGGAACAGACCGGAGTTGCTGATCGCTTTATGACACTGGAATGAAAGTCTTCGACTGAGTGCGTTGTGCTGGTGGAGCAACGTAAGTCGATCGTTACCTTTAGTTTCGCCGGGTCTTTAGGTCACAGGACCGCTTTCGGTAGCCAACTTCCGGCCGCACACTGCGACTGTTATGCTTTGACCTGTCTCACATACAACGGCGTTAGAAATTACTCCCTCGGCGACTGTTCGTTTCTCGCTCCTTATCATGGAAAAGGAAGAGGTCACACCGAGGAAACATGCCCTCAACTCCAGGCTAATGCTTGCCAACCTTTCTTGGTATCATCTGCCTATGCAGGCCTCCTTTGCCTCTGCAATGTAAACGTTTTCATGGTATCCGGAAAAGTCAGAGCCAAAGTTTTCTTTTGTTTTTCTCACTTCCTTCTCATTTGCACAAGTTTTGTTTTTAGCAACTTTAAACACAATGACCAGAAATGAATGAGCGAGGCCGGA